TCCAACAGAACAGTTAAAAAACTAATGGTATGGCTCAGTGGTAGAGCACTTGCCTAGCATGCCAAGATCCTAGGTTTGATCCCCAGAAGAGCAAAAGTAAAAACAAAAACTACTCAGTGAATATCTGTAAATCCAACATTTAATTATCTTTATAATAATTTTTCTATATTTGCTTCATTACATATTTATCAATCTATACATTAATCTATCTTATTTTTTATTCATTTCAAATTAAGTTGCAAGAAATAGGCCTAAACATCTTAAGAGTTCAGTTTTTTAAAAACTTATATTCTATATTTTTAAAGTTAAGAGTTATGTGGTAAAATGCACAAGTGTATTAGGATAAACTGTGATGAATGTATTCATACTTATAACCCCCAAACTCTATCCAGATATACAATATTTCACTCATAGAAACAGAGCAGAATTGTGGTAACCAGAAGATGGGGAAGGGATAAAGGAGATGTTAGTCAAAGGACACAAAATTTCAGTAAAGACAAGAACAGGAGCTTCAAGAGATCTATTATATATCATCGTGACTGCAGTTAATAATGGCATGTTGAATACAGTTTAGTACTGCATAACATTTTGATAAAGCACCTATACAACAGGGATACCATATTATTATAATGGAACTGAAAAAATTCCTATCATCTTATCAGAGCCCTCTTAACATCATAGCACATTATTCAACTACTTGTGATGCTGCTGATAAAAACAAACCTATTTCATTAAAAAACCTATTGCCATTTGTATAAAATTATAGTACATATTGATATATATATACATTACATACTATTTTATCATGATAATAAATGATTGCTACTTATTTATGTATTTCCTATGCTGTATTTTTCATTGTAGAGTATACTCTTCCACTTGAAAAACAGTATGCTGTCCTATGTCAGAAGCAGCCTCACACAGTATTTAAGTGTATCTTCATCAAGAGGCCACACTGAGGGCTGGAGTTGTAGCTAAGTGGCAGAGCGCTTGCCTAGCATGTGTGAGGCACTGGGTTTGATGCTCAGCATCACATAAATAAATAAAATAAAGGTATTGTGTTCATCTACTATATATATATATATATGGTAAAAAAGAGGCCACAGTAGGTGATTGACCTATGCCAACTAGGTGTATGAAAGGAACTCTGCTATGGATGTGTAATTATGAAATCAACTAAGGATGCATCTCTCTGAATGTATTCCCAACTAAGTGATATATGACTGTATTTGAAAATTGCTAGGAGAGTAGATTTGAAGTATTCTCATAAAAAAATAGGTGAGATGAGGCACATGTTAAATAGCTTTAATTTAATCATATATATATATAAACATACACATATGTTTTATAATACATATATATATGTTTTATACAATAAACATGTTTTACTTAAAAGAGGATGAAGAATTTTACGTCTAGCCCTAAACAATTATAGTAGTTAAAACATAACTATAAAAGAAAGAAGATGCTGGAGACACCCCTCATCCAAGGGCAGGCAGCCCAGGTGTTGAATATCTGTAGTAAATTGGGCAAACTACCACCTTTCCACCAAATAACAGAAAATTACTTATTCACTCCCTAAAAGTTCAGAAATTAATCCAGGAGGAATAAATGTGGCCATAAAAAGCAGCTCATATGTTCACCTTCTGAATCTTCAATTAAACTAATAGATGCTTGGGGGAAAGATACTGCTTGTATGGCAAGTGCTAGTTTAAATGCTGCTTATCTATTAGTGGTTTTCTATGAGAGGCAGTGCGGAACTAGAGAAAAGGTAAACACTTTGAAATCAACATAATCTGGGTTCAGAGCTCTTCAAACTTAACTAGCTACTTAAATTACCTAACTTTTCTAAGCCTCAGGTTCCACATCTGAAAAATGAGGCTTATTTTTCCCTTTTTTTCAATAACAAGTTTCTCAAATAGATGACCTAATACAGAACCAGGCAAGACAAGTCCTCATCCTGAACCTCAAGATTTAGGGGGAATTACTCTGGCCCTCTTCCAGTCATATTCCTCCCCAAGAGGTGAAGAGAAGTTGGGGTCAAAGGACATGCACACCATAAATTAATGCCCTGCTACAGATCATGTATGCTCTGGGTCTATCTAGAACCAGGAATTTCATGTCCATACAATGGAAGTTTGACTTCTAGGATCTGCAAGGATCTATCCCCTAGGTCTCACTTCCTAAAATGGTATGGAAGGACCTTGACTGTGAGCACTTGGAGGTAGGAAGGTTCCAGAACTGTGTGTAAAGCCACCTCAAAGTAAGAATAGAGTATGACATAGGAACAGAATGGTGTTTAGGCTCAGAGGTTAGATGGATTTGACCCATGTAGACACATTCTGGCATATAACTGAAGAGTCCAAGAATTCTTAGTTCAAACCTGACCTTATTATTATTTATTTATTTGCAGTGTTGGGGACTCAACCTAGGAGTGTGTTATCACTGAGTTACACACTTTCTATTGTGAGACAAGGTCTTGCTAAATTGTGGAGGCTGGCCTTGCACTTAAAATCTTCCTACTCAGCATCCCAAGTCTCTGGGTTTATAGGCATGTACCATGGTGCTCAACTTAAACCTTACAGGTCCCTATGAAGATTTATTTGTCAAAAATGGGAAGATGAAACATATTTAACAGTTTATTTAACTTATACACATGTGCTATGGGGGTCTTTATATTTGGTACAGACTTCACAAATGTTATAAGTAGGCTGGTCTATAATAACTCAACACGTATTTACAGTATTTTCCATGTTTACTTTAAAATATTATATTTAATAATGCAACATCTCAAGGTAGATTTAATTATTGCCACTGCACAAAGAGATATGCAGAAGAAATCTATCCAGATCTCTTTTCTTCTATTGTATCTGTCTTCTTATCTACCAAGTACTCTGAGCATACTACTCTACCATATCATTAATATTGAATTTTGCAAGATAATGTACTCCTAATCCCTTAGTTCTATTCTCTATGACCTCTCTTTAGCATCTGATACTGTCAACAGTGTTTCCTTTCTTAACTAAAACAGTTTTCTCTTTTGGCTTCTAAGACTACACTAACTAGTTTTTCTACCAGCCTTTTGCTCTTAGATTTTTTTTCTTTTTCATTTCTTAAGAGTAAATAAGATAATGTTTCTGAGTTATTGTTTCAGCCAAAGCTATGTTCAATGAAATATTTTCTTTTTTATTACTTTTAATTGGTGCATTACAATTATATATAATAGCAGGATTCATAGTTACATATTTACACATTAACAGAACAATATAATTTGGTCATCAATTCCCCAGTATCTCCCCATCTCATTCCCCCTCCTCTAATTGTTGTTGTTATTATTATTATGTCATCTAATAAAAATAGCTACCATTTTTAGTAGGGTCAGTTATTGCATGTTAGAAATGAGTTAAAACTTTCTAGCTTTATGATCCCAAATAAGTCATTTAACTTCCCTGAGTTTCTGCTTTCCCAGCTGAATAATGTTGTAATATTCTTTATAAGAATTAAATGAAACATGGACTATAAAACAAACTATGGAACATAGTTAATAAATGTTAATTCTCTCCTCTGTCTTAGTGCTTCTAAGTGAATAAATTAGTTCTTTCCTCTATGTGCCTTTCCAAAAACAAAGTTCTTGGCCACTGGACTTTCTTTATCCTCTATGTCTGCACTTATTGCATCTGTAACTCCAACTCCTCTGGAGGGATGGTTCTCAATCATTTGGGTCTAGATCTCTCACTAAATGTTTAGACACATATTAAGTTTTAATAATTATTTCTACTTAAGAATCCTACTGCTTTCCACATAAAATTTGTTCTTTTCTTTACTAAAAGAAGAGAGGAAAGCAAAAGGCTAGTAATATAAAACATTACAAAGGTAGAACTGATGGGATGGATGATTAAGCAGCAGCTAATTTCAGTTTCAAGCTTGCCTTAAAAAATGACAAATATTAAGAAGCAAGGTTTTCAAAATTCTCCATTTTTCCCCATTCTTCAGACATGAAACTCTAATCCTTCTATTTTTTAATCTATAAAGCCCAAAATGTACTCGTTCTTTTAAATGCCCTCATGTTTACATGCCTCATTCATCTAATAATGTAATATCTTCTATTATCAACTTTTATAAATTTATATTTTATCTTCCTAATTATACTGCAGATCAAGTCTATTGACCACTTTTTTTGTAATCTTCTTCATAATGTCTATAAATGCTGATGAAGATATGGTCAACAACTCAGATAATCATAAATAAAGATATTTTCAGATTTTTTTTTTCTGTCATGTGAGGAATTGTTTCAAATTGAAAGCTTAGAAAGTCTTCCACATGAAAAATGTGAACAACAGGGAAAGGAAACAACCTTCAATTTAAATCATTTAGCCATGTGTTAATTATCTATAAATTATTTTCAAGAACTATATAAAAATTTCTTCAAAAACTACTTATATTTTAGCACATGCCTGTAATCCCAGCAGCTTGGGAGGCTGAGCCAGGAGGATCAGGAGTTCAAAGGCAGTCTCAGCAAAAGCAAGATGCTAAGCAACTCAGTGAGACCTTGTCTCTAGATAAAATACAAAATAGGACTGTGGATGTGGCTCAGTGGTTGAGGGCCCCTGAGTTCAATGTCCAGTACAAACAAAACAAAACAAACAAAAAAAGCTTATATTTTCAACATAGGTTGTGGTTGTGGCTCAATGATAGAGCACTTGCCTAGCATGCATGAGGCACTGGGTTCGATCCCCAGAACCATATTTAACAAACAAACAAAAAACAAAAAACAACTACAACGTAAGTCTCTAAAATGACAGACTAATGTTATTTATTAAATATTAAATGCGCTTAAAACTTCTAAAATCCACATGACAAAAAATTACTATACAGTTCATTTATAGTAATGGATTTTTTTATTAGACATATTTCAAATTCAGGAAAATTTAATTACATTCCATTTTCTTTAGTATGATCAAAACAGATAAACTGTAGGGTAATAAAGCTGAGTACTTTACCTGAGTAGCTTTATCTTTCATACACGAAGGGTAGTGAACATGAGGATCCCGTGGCCACTGTCCTGTGAGGTAAGGTCCTGTTATCGTATCCAAAGAAGAGGTTCGCCTTATTGTACTAGAGGTTCGAACTTGTTGAGATTTTGGTCTGTCCACTATAAAAAGTGAAAAAAAAATAGATTTTAGAGTACATTTTTTAATTATTTAAACTTTAGTTTGTAAATGTCATTAAATCAATTTGCCCTATAATGTATACATTTACCCAAATAACCCTATTGTCTGATCTAATAAAATTCACAGATCTTCTCCCAAGAAAAACACATTTCATTTAACAAATCTTGCATGTACTTTCAGGATTTCTGGCCCATCCTCAGAAGCCCATCCATTTTAGAGATGTAATAAAATCTACTTGTCATCTCTACTGCCTTTACTTTTAGACTCTGTCATATCAACTGCCAGTTTTCTAACTGCTGTTTCTGCATCTAGTTCAACCAAATATTTTTTTAAAATTTGTTCTTTCTAGCTATACATGATGGTAGAGTGTATTTTGACATTTTATACATACATAAAGTTCAACTTGTTCCAATTACGATCCCGTTATTGTGGTTGTATGTGATGCAGAGTTACATTGGTCATGTATTCACATATAGGATAGGAAAGATATGTCCAATCATTCCACCATCTTTTCTATTCCCATCCCCACTCCCTTCCCTTCGTTTCCATTTGTCTAGTCTAATGAACTTCTAATCTTCCCCTCCCTTGTTGTGGGTTAGCATCCACATATCTGAAAGAACATTCTGCCTTTGATTTCTTTGGGACTGGCTTATTTAACTCAGCATGAGAGGCTCCAGTTCCATCCATTTACCAGCAAATGCCATAATTTCATTCTTCTTTATGGCTGAATAATACACCACTGTGTATATATACCACATTTTCTTTATCCGTTCATCTGTTGTAGGGTATCTACGTTAGTTCCATAGCTTGGCTATTGCGAACTGAGTTGCCATAGACATTGAAGTGGCTGCGTCACTATAAATCTTAAAAAGCCCCATGGTTTTTGCCTTTAAGAACCATATTCTCCAATATGATAAAAAGCTTAATATTTTGCTACTCCTCCATAAGCCCATGCTTAGTGTCACATGAAAGACTTCTATTTTTCCAAAAATAAAATGCAGTTTCTGCCTCTGGATCTTCTATTTCATGAACCTAGAGCTCTCTCCCCTTCCTTGTTCACTAGATAAACTGTTATTAATCTTCAAGATCTGCTCAAATGTTACATTGCTTCTCCTTCCTTCTCCATTCAAGATATACTCACTTCCCTCTGTTTTCATGGCACCCTAAGCTTTTCTCTCTCCCCCACCAGAGCATAGTTTCAGACATTGCAGACCAAAAAGGAGTTGATGTTTAATATTTACTTAACAAATTGATTCACAGCTACCTCAAAATAACATGTATAAAGAACTATGTATCTTAATTCTTATAGATACAGAGTTTGAAGCACAAAGAAGTTGAATTATCCCATGAACTGGGGCTGTTAAAAGGGGATAGAGTTAAAAAAGAACCAAGATCTCTGGGAATTTTATACAATTGAATCAATCTACCCTAATAATCTATTTCTTTTCTTCCTCATGAGTACTATAATCATCTCTGTTGAAAATTTAAATCATCACACAGAATACTAAACCCATAAAGAAATGACTGAGGATTTTCCATATGTTCATCCCAAATAATTTACTATAATAAAGTCCAATGGATTATAAGTTTCCAAGGCTCCAATTCTAGTTCTATCTCACATATAACAAAGTGCTTTGTATATTAGAGAGGGTCAGAAAACATTTCAAATTCAATGCTTTACTCAAACTATCTTCCTGAAACCAAAACACACACAGTCCATCAGAATAAAAAATAAAATACAGCAGGGCTGAAGTTGTAGCTCAGTGGTAGAGTGCTTGCCTCAAACATGTGAAGCACCGGATTCAATTCTCAGCACTGTATATAAATAAGTAAACAAAATAAAGGTCCATTGACATCTAAAAATATAAAAATAAAAATAAAAAGTCTACTCTAATGTTATCATATTATCTAGATAATATCTTAGAAATGCAGTTCTGATTTCTTCTTTGACCCAAGAGTTGTTAGAGAAAAATCTGAAAATTATCAAATTTCCAGGCCAGGATTATAGCTCAGTGGTAGAGCGCTTGCCTAGTACATGTGAGACACTGGGTTCGATCCTCAGCATCACATAAAAATAAATAAACAAAACAAAGGTATTGTATCATTTCCTCCTTATCTTTATTAGTTAGCTCATTTTCATAAATGTTTCATGAGTAATGGAAAAGATGTATTTTGTTCACAGAATATGGAGTTATTTGTCTTATATATCAATTAAATTAAATAAAAGTTCAGAATATAGAATGAAGCTTGATCTGTCACCTAGAAAAATACTCTAAAATCTGTAAACTTCTACTGAGTTCTAAAAGTTCTTTATTTCTTGAATATTTTTTGACATATTTTAGATCTTAATAATTTGGTACTTATAAATTCTTGACATCATCATTATGGCTTACATGTATAATAATTATAATATGACCCATTTATTAATTTTTACTTTTAAATTTTGTCAAACTAAATATTGACTCCCTTCTGTTTTCTTTGCTCTAATTTGCTCTGAATATTCCCCATCTTTTCATTTTCAAGTTCTTTGCATCATAACTTTTATGTGTATCTCTTACATACAGTAGGTATACTTTAGTGAGTATACTTTTGTTGTAAAAGGTAAGTTTATCCTATTTACATTTATTGTTGTAACATGCTTCATTTAACTTGTTATATAATTTCCCCCCTATTTTGTACTGCTTCCTTGCTACTTGTTTTCTGTTTTATTGTTGTTCCTTCTCCCTTCTCCTTACACCATTCTCATAGGTAACTTGGAAGATATGGAACTTATCTTTAGTTCTACTAGGAGGTATTTCTATTCTTTTAAATGTTTCCTGGTTGTAAAAGCAGTATCTACTAATTTGAGGAACACTGAAAATAATCTGATTTATGATGACTTATTTAAAATTAAAGTTACTTTGTATTCCTTCCACCCAAAAGACACAAAAGGCAAAAACAAATTGTCCCTTGAAAGACAACATTTATAGCAATTGCCAATTTTTAAAAAAGACCGATCTAAATGTCAGCTATGAACAAAAAAGGAAAAACCATTACATGTGAAAACTTGTGCATATACTTTAAATTGCTCAAAACTATTTGAAAAATTGCAGTTTATTTGTCATTAAAACTCAATTTGGCAAGTAAAAACAGGGATAATTTTTATTTTATGATGAATTAAATATCTGAACAATCAATCTATAAATGAGCCCATTGGCCTGTATAATACAATATTCTTATCTGTATTTCACTACTTTTTCTTTGATTATATTTTAAATCTTTAGATGTCTGTGTATCATTTTTTAAAAAGCATATGTTCTCCCTTTGGTGTCTATCAGTAGGTAGGTACTTTGTTAGAACTATGGTCTTTTAAAGTTTTTTTGATTAAGTATCCCTACTGGTAACTATGTAGACAGGCAGTAATAAGTGTAGCTATTTATTTACAACTGGATATGTATGTTATTACTAATACATTATGCATATTCCGAAATAAAATATAAATGTATATGTATGATTTTTTTAAAAAAAATAGAGAAATTCTATTTGCTTCATGTGTCTCAATGGGTATCCTTCTCACCTCAATATGACAACTATTAGGCTAAGGCACCTGAAATTGAGAACCAAATTCAATCGGGAGATTGGCCATCTGGCTTTTTCTAATTCTGTAACTATAATCTCAGTTCTTAATTGCATAAGAATATGTAAACAAGTTCCATACATCATTACTAATAGGAAGAAAATATTAAAAAGAAAGAATAAGGATAGCACAGTATTCACATCTTGTTAAAAACTTCACTCTACCAGTCATCATTTTAAAAACTTAAAAATACATAAAGCAGACACACAGTAACAAACCAACTATCCTTCAATTTTGGACTACTATATGATTGCGGTCCCATAGGATTAAAATGAAGCTGAAAAATTCCTGTGAACTAGAGACTTTGTTGCCATCATAATATATAGGAGTGCAATGCTTTGCTCATGTTTGTAGATATGGTTAATATAAATAAACCTAGTGCACAACTAGTCAGATAAAACTATAGCACATACAATTGTGAACAGTACATGTACTTGATAATAATAATAAACTACTGTTACTTGTTTACGTATTTACTATTCTATTGTTACTATTTTAGAGTGTATGTCTTTACTTGTTTTTTTAAAAAAGTGAAGTATAAAAAATATGTCATTTCATCAGCAGGCTTATACATTTCATGTTTACTTTTTCCCTTAATGGCATCAAGAGGACATGTCAAATGACCAACCTATAACATCTAGATTTGTCTAAGTACACTCTATTATGTTCACACAAGAATGAAATTGCCTAATCACTTAACAATGCATTTCTTAGACTATGTCCCTATTATTAAGCAATGCATGACTGTACGTGAAAGGCTATATACTGCAAACTTTAAAAGAAAGATTCTCACCATTCCTTATGCCAGGAAAACTTCAAAGATGTGGAGCAGTTAGGAATTTCCTTGTAAATTATTTAAAGAGTAGAAATTCTGAATTAATTTAAAAACTGACAATCAGCGCACTCTTCCAAGATATAATCTGCCGTAATAGCCCCGTTTATCAAATACCACTAGTACCTTAAATTTATCCAAAGATCTATCAGAAACTCAATTCTGTTTCAACAAACTGACATATTCATATTATCCAAACTACCAGTGAGTTAGTTTTTGACTGCCTTAACATCTAAGAATATATACCCATAAATCTTTATTTATTTTACTTCTAGTATTATTTATTAGCAATTCAGATTTTACCATTTCAGTACACTAATGAAATTAAATACTGGTTTTGCATTATTTATACATACAACACAATAAATTGTTTATTTCATTATGACAGATATGATTACAATATTTACCTAACTTCTGAGTTGCATGGAAATACTATTTCTCTACTAATTAATACAAAATTACCCTAACTCAAGTAGCTCAAACAAGACATCATATCAACCAGAAATCCACATTAGTAATGTGAATCTTTGGAT